TGGTGCGACCACCATCGCGATGTGGGCCAACAAGGGCCTCGTGGCGGGCTGCCCCTTCACCACCACCTTCAGAGTGAACTCACTGGAGGGGCTGGACTCGATAGTCTGGCACCCGTGCGTGGACTACAGCCTCTACGTGGATGACAACGGCATCCACGCTGTAGGGGGATTCAAAGAAGTTTTGGAAGGGGTGGTCCAAGGGTCCGAACAGCTTGTGCGAGTGATCAGCGAAGATATCGGCGCGTCGCTGTCTGAAGACAAAGCTGTGCTCCTTGTGTCTAACAAAGCCCTGGGCCATGAAATTCAAAAGCGACTGGGCCCCTCGCTTACGGGTCCCATCGTTCCTGCCGCCCCGAATTTAGGCGTCGACGACGCAGTCGGCGCTCCTTTAAGGCACCGCGGGCGAGACTACAGGGCCAAGAAGCGACGGGCTAGGGCGAAGATGCGGGCCCGTCGCCTGGGTAAGCTCACGCGCCAGATCGGTCGGCGGGCCCGAAACATCTGGGTCGCGGGCCCGCTCCCCGCGGCCACCTATGGGGCCGAGGTTTTTGGCGTCTCAGACGCCGAGCTCCTGGGCCTCAGGAGGTCCTTCGCCTCCGTCCTCAGGCCACCGGCTGGGGATAGAAGCTTGTCCATTCTTCTGCTTTTGGAGCGCGATCCGACCTGGGTCGCCCAAGTTGCGCCTATTCTTAGATGGCACAAAGAAGTGTGGAACACCAAGCGCCATGTGCATCCCTCCACCCTGCCTTTCAGCAGCCTCCGTGAGTCCTGGGAAGCCGTCTTTTCCGGAAAGCTTCGGACCTGGCGCAGTGCCAGCGGCCCAGGGATGGCCATGAAAAAATCCCTCGAGCGCATCCGCTGGGCCATGCCTGATGTTTGTAACCTGGTCAGTGACCAAGGCCACGAGGTTTCCTTGACACTTCAGTCGCCTGGCACGTTGAAGCAGATGCTCCGCGAAGCTGTCGTTCGAAGGCTCGAGGAGGACATTGGCATGAAAGTGGGTTTCCGCCAGAGAGCCTGTTTTGACGTTGTTGCGAGGCACCTCGCTTCCAAGAAATATTCCCCCCAGAAAAAAAGGTATCCTCAGGACCGTGTGTGCGGGGGCTTTATGGGCCAGGACCTACGCGATCTCCAAGGGGCACTTGCACTCGGAGCTTTGCCCTCTGGGATGCGGCCAACGAGATACGCTTTTTCATCGCATCTGGAAATGCCCTGCTGTTCAGGAAGTCAGAGGACGTGGTGGACCGCAAGACTTTAGACAGCATCGACAGCTTCGTCGATCACAAGCACCTGCTTTTTGCTGTCACCAGAGGGGGGCTGCCGCGCCCAGGAGTTGATTACCCCACCCCGTGTGTGTCTGGTTCCCTGGAGGCCGATTGGTTTGTCGAGCCCCCCCTGGACCGGACCCAAATCCAAGGGCAGATCTTTGTTGATGGGTCGTGCAGCCGCCACATCATTAAATAATTAAGTCGAGCTGCCTGGGCCCTCAGCGTTTTCAAAGCGGCCAGCTTCAGTGCGAGATCAGAGGCCCAGTGCACGCGCCCCTCCCGCAGACGCCACAGTGCGCAGAAGTTTGCGCACTCGCTGCGGCCACGATGTGCATCGTGGGTCCCTCGGAGGTTTTTTCGGATTGCCAGAACGTGATTTCGCAGTTTAAATCAAGTCATGCGGACCGTGTCAATTTCCGCAAAGTTCATGCTGGCCACACGCTCCAGGCGCACAGCTACGAAGGAGCCAGACTTATATCTGAACTTTATAAGGTCAAGGCGCATCAGTCTCTCAATGATGACAGCCTCACAGACCACGAACGTTTCGTGAGGGTTGGCAACGACTTCGCCGACCGAGGAGCGAAGGCCGCCCTTGCACTACATGAGCGCGACGACGAGGCTCTTGCCACGGTCGACGAGCAGGTCCATTTCGTCTCGGCTTTCTGCCGCCTAGCCATGAAGGTCCTACCTCTTTTCCCGTCCCTCAAGGCGGATGGCGAGGTGGAGTACAGACCGATTTCAAAGGACGCTGTTGGCAGAGACGCGCCCGAGGAGTGCAACTTTTTGTGGATCGCTGGCCTCTGACGATGCGTCAAGTGTTGCCGTGCTTCGAGGCGGTCAGACTTTTCGACCTCTCTCATGAGTGCCCCCATGCCCCCGCCCAGAAGATGCCTGGGGACCCTACTCGGCCTGGACTTAGAGCGTGTGGCGAGTCAACGCCACAGCATCGTTTGTTTCTCGTGTTCTGACGGCGCGCACCTTTTTATATACTTACATTGTGCGCCGTTTGTATCCACTGGCACACCGCAGAAGTCCAATATGTACAGATTTCGGTGCAAAGGTTTCCGCGACAGCCGACAGCAGTGGAAGTGGAATCGCGTCCTCCGAGGAGTTCACCCGCAGCACGGCAAAGACGGGATCAAAGTTTTCATAGAGGCTCCTGAGGACGACGGTCCTGGAGATTGTTCCCAGCACCCGCTAGCCGATGCCACAGCTTCGGGGGACGCCGACGCAGGTCAGCGTAGCCCAACCTCAGCAGAGCAGCGGGCTGACGACTGCAATGCAGCCAGCCCTCACGGCCCCACCAGCCGCGCTGACCCACCTGCCGTGCCAGAGCATCCCGACGGTTTCGAGCGTGCGTTAGCTTCTCGGGGGGAGGATGCTCTGGATCGCCAGGAGGACGAAGCTCCGCTCGTAATTCGCCCACTGCTGTCTGGTCCCGTGCCCGCGACCCGCCAATCTGGCGTCTCGCACTCTAGGGGGCGAACACCGCCGCCTTTGCGCACTGCAGTGCCTGTAGCGAAGCTCGAGCCGACTCGAGCCAGCTCATCCCTTGGCGGTCCAGTAATGGGAGAGGCCGCTGCCGACAGCGGATCCCCCGCCGCCTCCAGCGCTGACGCGAGCTGTGTAGCCCCTTCGGTCGTCCCAGAACAGGCTCAGGGTGCGTTGCGGGCCGTGGGCCGTCTTGAGGAGGACGCTCTGGAACGACAAGAAAACGAAGCTCCGCTCGCCTCTCTTTTTGGCTCCCCTGCCCAGAGGCAGAGAGGGCGAACACCGCCCCACCACCGCAGGGCTGCCCCGCCAATTGCGAGCTGTGCAGCCCCTGCCCTAGTGCCTGGGCAACCCGCTTCTGTTTCGGGGTCCGTCCAGGTTTGTTATGAGGAAGCCCAGGCACTAGGGACAGACGTGGCGCCGCTAGGGCCTGTGCCGACTCGAGCTGCCACTTTTCAGGAGAAAGTGCAGCACCTTCTTCGAGCTGCAGGAGGTCTTCCGCCGCCTGAGGCGACGGGGAGCGGAGGGGAGATGACGGACGAGTCAGACTAGGTCACGGGGGCGCCGCCCCGACCGTGGTCTAGCAAGTTCGTGCGAACCCCCATCGCTCACTCCTGCAGCTGGCGCTGCGCGGAGAGGCAGCCGTCGCCGCCGCTGCTTCTCCCTTCTCAGTGGCCTGAACTGCTGGCCAGACGCGGCTGGAGCCCCATCGGGCAAAACAAAAACTCCTCCTCCTCCTCCTCCTCCTCCTCCTCCTCCTCCTCCTCCGCCTCCTCCTCCTCCTCCTCCTCCAACTCCTCCTCTTCCTCCTCCTCTTCCCCCAACTCCAATCCAACAACCAAAAATCCTCCTCCTCCTCCTCCCCTCCTCCTCCTCCTCCTCCTCCTCCTCCTTCCTCCTCCTCCTCCTCCTCCTCCTCCTCCTCCTCCTCCTCCTCCTCCTCCTCCTCATCTGTCTCCTCCTCTGTCTCCTCCTCCTCCTGCTCCTCCTCCTCCTCCTCCGCCTCCTCCTCATCATCATCCTCCTCCCCCTCCTCCTCCTCCTCCGCCTCCTGCCCCGACCAAGTAGCCAGAGATGGCGAGGGTTTCGCCGTTGTTGTGGCAGCTCGTGTCATAGTCGGTTCTTACACCTTGTATTCCGACTGCAAGGGCACTCTACAGTGAGTCGCTGGCCGTCGGTTCGCTTCTCGTTCGGCTGATGTCAGGACTCACCTCTGGAGCCAGACTTTCCCCTGGGGCTCGCCAGATGGCATTGCGTGGAAGAAATGTGTTGGTCCACGCCTCTGATGTCGATGTCCGTGATGGGGGGGATCGCGTCCTTTGAAAAAACACAAGGTCAATTCCCAGGCCGACCGTCTAGCCAAAGCAGGAACCTCCCCCAGCAGGCACGACCCATCGGACACGCTCTTAGCCAAGGACATGCTCTTGTCGACGCGCCAGCTGAATAAATATATCACTCCTTCTGGAGCCCGTTATTCTGAAGAAGTCCAGTATGACAACATCGGGGCTCAGGGGTTAACTTTGGTTGCCCTGGAGGGGGACCCCAGGTGGAATCAGGCCGTGGAGGAGGCGAGGAGGGTGGACGTGGAGGTGGCTGCTGCCGCTGCTGCTGCTGCTGCTCCCGCTCAGCCTCCCCCCCCCGGGACCCCTCCCAGCCCCCCCCCCCCCACACCGAGCCCCTGGCGCCCGAGTTGGCCAGTCAAGCTGCTGATGCAGCTCAGGTCCCGTGGGCCGAGGGAGGCCATCATCTTCTGGAGTTCCCAGTGCTTGCAGATGGACAGGCCGATCTTGTGTTTAGCTCCACCTGTGGAGCGTATGCGACCATTGCCCCTGGGGCGCGAGGCCTCAGATCTTGGTGTCTGGGTTCTCAGGTGGCCCTTGTTGACCCTGGGCGGGAAACCGAGAGTGCGTTTTTCACGGGCACGCACCCGAACCGCCCTCTTTGGCTGGGCCCCTGGGTGTCCCCTGGGGTCCTGGCTCGGGGGCTGTTCGCCGGAGGCTTCGACGAATCAGGGGCCCCAGCCAGGAGGAGAGCGGGGCGCGGCTGCTCCGCGGCTTGCGACAAGGCGAGGCTTGTGTCTGGCTGATTGTCTGCAGGCGTTCGGTCTCAACGAACCTGAGGCTACACCCTGCGAAATGCTTAAGAAATCATGGGTTAAGAAATTCATAGTCTCAGAACTTGAATAAAAACCCAACATTTCCATTAAAATCTTAGGATTTCCATTGAAAAATTAAGAATAATCGAGACTCTGGCCGAAAACTTAAGTTTTCTTAAGCATCGCCTAAGGTGTAGAAGCCTGGGGGCCCGACTTCCGCAGACGGAGCAGGCTGACCTGAGGCCGTGGCTGGGCCTGTCAGAGGGAGCCTCTGCCACTGAGGCTGCAGGCGGCACGTGCTTGGCCAGCATGCGCACCGCCTTGTGGCAGTTGCCCTGGCACTCCTCGAATTCCGCCAGCGCGCCGATCGCAGCCTGCTCCGCCAGGTGCAGCTGCCCCTCGAGCTGCTCGGCGGCGCGAGCCTTCTTGTCCAGGACCTTCTTCGCCTCGCGCATGGCGTGTTGGGCCGCGCCGAAAGACCGGGCTTGGGCACTGAAGACTGCTGGAATTGGCGGGCGCATCCGTCGTAGATGTCGGCATGGTACCCATCTCCGAGCCGACGAAAGTTGGCTGCAAGCTCCTGCAGCGCTGGGATGTCGCCCTTGACGTGGTTAGTCCAAGAGGTCGCCGTCGAGCGCTGCAGCCAGCCCGAGTCGCCGAGCTGGAGGCCTGGCACGCGTGGCTGGCCCTCGGGCCCGTCCGCACGGCTGCCCTGGGGCGGCCCCGTCGCCAGGGGGCCTGGAGGCTTGGGCCCAGGCAGCTGGCCAGCCACCTCGCCGCCGCCAAAGCCTTTGCCCTTGCCAGCCTTGCCGCCCTTGCCACGCTTGGCGCCTCTGGGGTGGCCAGCAGGTTCGCCTCCGCCCGTGCCGCCATCGCCCACCAGCGGGAGCGAGCCGAGAGGCGGCAGGCTGGCCCAGGCCCCAGAGGCGGCTGGGGGTGCGGAGGGCTCCACAGATGCCAAGGGCCAGGGGCAGCGCTTGCAGATCCAACCACGGGTCAGGCATGAGGCCTTGCTGCCTCCAGTCCCGCCAGCGTGGTCCGCGCACCATTGCTGGGGCTCACCAGACGGCTGGCGCACCCAAGGATCGCGAGAGAAACCATGCGCCATCTGCGAGCAGCAGCCAGGGGCGGACCTGGCGGGGACGTCGTCTTTGCTCCTCCAGGAGCTCACAAAGAAGAATGATGGAAATCCTCGTCTGACCGAAAGACGAGGGGCCACACTGGTGGGGGGCCGTCCTTCTCCCTTGCCAAAAGGGTCAGGTCCTGTGCGAAAGCACTCCGGATTTGAGCCAAAATGGCTACGGACCCTCCTCCTCCTCCTCCTCCTCCTCCTCTTCCTCCTCCTCCTCCTCCTCCTCCTCCTCCTCCTCCTCCTCCTCCTCCTCCTCCTCCTCCTCCCCCTCCTTCTTATCATCTCTCTCTCTCTCTCTCGCTCTCTCTCTCTCTCTCTCTCTCTCCTCTCTCTCTCTCTGCCTCTCTCACTCTCCCCCACACGATATCAGCAGGAGCACACTGAATGTGGCAGTCCAACCCAGCAAGTTCACTCGCGCAGGGCTCCAATACGCGGCGCCATGGCCCGCGTCCTCCTGAAAGTCACAAGGCCTTGCAATGTCGCCCCAGTGCTTGGCAACGGAAAGGAGGAGGGAGGAGGGAGGAAGGAGGAGGTGGATGCGGAGCAGCAGAAGGAGGGTGAAGAAGCAGGAGGGCACCTTGGCGACACTTGGAATTGAAGCCACGCGGCCATCCTCTCTGCCTCGGGGTGCGAATCACTCCTTCCGGCAGATCCTCATCTCGTATCTTTGGCTCATGTTCGGGCACGGCATCCCGCCGACTCCCCGCGGCTGTGAGATGCCCCGCGTGCGCGTCTGCGCCGGGGCCCTGAGGAACGTCCTGCGCACCGCCAGGAAGCATCCACATCCACAACTTTAAAGTATCCAGGCCACCTACTTTCGGTGGGCAAAGGCGTCCAGACACCACCGCCGTGCCTGGTCAGGGCCATCCTCGGCCATGGCACGGTGTGCATACGCCCTCCTGGCCGAGGCCAGGATGTTCTATACACCGTCCTGGGCCCCTGGATGGCCCTGGCCAGGCACGGTGGTGGTGTCTGGATGTCTGCGGGTTCAGGGCTCGCGCCGCGCGATGCGCGACCGCGGATAGCATCCCGCCCTCGCGATGCGGCCCGGGACAAAATGGCACCCTTTGCGGTCCTGGCCGCTGGGCCCGCAGCGCGACGATCCGCCACCATGTACTGCACGAGTTGGGAGTGTCCTCAGGTCCTCTGGAACTGTCCGTCCCCAGTCCTGAGTGAACGAGTATAGGGGCCCGGGCACCACCAGTATGGTGCATCATGAGGTTTAGCGCATGCTCTCGCGTGTTACGTCTTCGGAGCCAAGAAGGGCTCCAAGACTGCCAGGCCAGGAGGGCCTCAGAAGGCGCCCAAGACGGTCCAAGGGAGCCTCCTGAAGGCCTCCTTGAGTTCAAGAAGTCGGTCTCCAGGGCCTCCTGAGTGCCTCCTGAGGGCCTTCTGGGAACTCTCAGAAGTTCCCCACAGATCGGTCCAAGATGCCCAAGACGGCCTCCAGCATGACGCTCCAAGAGGACTCCAAGAGACTCCCCCTTAGGTTTGTGCGAAGATTTTAGCGTCCCCGCCGTTTCGGGTTTTCGACGCTCCGAGAAGGCCCGAGAGGCCCCCGAGATCGCCCCAAGATGGCCCAAGAGGTGCCCAAGAGGGCCTCCATACGGCCCCAGATCAAAGAGGGCCCCAAGAGGACCCAAGAGGCTCCCAACACGGCCCAAGGGGGCCCAAGAAATGCCCCAGAGGGGGAGCACGAATCGACATTTCGAGCTCTCCGATCCAAGACTACATCCGAGACAGCCAGCAAGGCCCGAGAAGCCCCCAAAGGGTCCCCTGAGAGGCCCGAATCAGGCCCCGAGACCCTCGAGAGGCCCTCAAGGGCTCCCAAGGCACCCCAAAACCGCTTCCCAGAGGCTTCCAAGAGGCCTCCCAGGAGATCCCCACAGGCATCCAAGAGGCCTCTGACCAACATCCAAGGCACGGTGGAAAAATGGGCCGACCGCCACCATATCCGCCGCCACCTGTCGATTCATCGCAGGGGTGCCTGGCGTGCTAGACCCTTTCAGTGTAGGTTTTAAGATCTTTTTCCAAAAGAACTCCCCCTTGGGCTTCGGCCCGTCCCGCCGGCCACCCGGAAAGATTGGCCAGAGGTGGTTGCAAAGGTTTTCCTGCTCCAGACAGCTCCATGATGGCGTACAAGATGGCCAAGACGGCCCAAGATGGCCTCCAAGTTCGCTCAAAATGGCCTCCAAGACGGCCCAAGAGAGGAGGAGATGCCTCCAAGTCCGTCCAAGAAACCTCCAAGACAACCCAAGATGGCCTAAGAGCCCAAGAGGCCTCCAAGACGGCCCAAGAGGCCTCCAAGAGGGCCTCCTGGAAGGCCAGAGAAGGCCATAAACACTGATGTTCCAAAAGTGTTTGAAGGATTTGGGCATGTGCTTCTTTTCGGCCTTCCGACGGCCCAAGACGGCCCAAGAGCCCCCAAAGATCGCTCAAGGATCGCCCAAAGATCGCCCAAGAGGCCTCCAAGATGGCCCAAGAGGCCCCCAAGAGGGCCCCAAGAGGCCCCCAAGACAGTTGAGGAGGCCTTTAAGACTCCCAAAATGGCCTCCAAGACGGCCCTGGAGCATTCCAAGAGGGCCCCAAGACGGCCCAGAGAGGCCGCCCAAACGGCTTCCGACGGCGTCAGACGGGCCAGGAGCCCACCAAGACGGCCGAAGATGGCCCTAACATGGCCCAAGACGGCCCAAGAGGCCTCCAAGAGGGCCTCCAGAAGGCCCGAAAAAAACAAAATCATGAATTTCACATGAGTTGTTGAAGGATTGTGGCATTTGCTTGTGTTCGGCCTTCCGACGGCCCGAGACGGCCCAAGTGCCCCCAAAGATCGCCCAAGAGGCCTCCAAGACGGCCCCAAGAGGCCCCCAAGGCGGCCCAAGAGGCCTCCAGGACGCCCAAGATGGCCTCCAAGACGGCCCCGGAGCACCCCAAGAGGGCCCCAAGTCGGCCCAGAGAGGACACCCAAACGGCTTCCGACGGCGTCAGACGGGCCAGGAGCCCACCAAGACGGCCGAAGATGGCCCTAACATGGCCCAAGACGGCCCAAGAGGCCTCCAAGAGGGCCTCCAGAAGACCCGAAAAAAACAAAATCATGAATTTCACATGAGTTGTTGAAGGATTGTGGCATTTGCTTGTGTTCGGCCTTCCGACGGCCCGAGACGGCCCAAGTGCCCCCAAAGATCGCCCAAGAGGCCTCCAAGACGGCCCCAAGAGGCCCCCAAGGCGGCCCAAGAGGCCTCCAGGACGCCCAAGATGGCCTCCAAGACGGCCCCGGAGCACCCCAAGAGGGCCCCAAGTCGGCCCAGAGAGGACACCCAAACGGCTTCCGACGGCGTCAGACGGGCCAGGAGCCCACCAAGATGGCCGAAGCTGGCCCGAAGCTGGCCCAAGACGGCCCAAGAGGCCTCCAAGAGGGCCTCCTGGAAGGCCAGAAAAGGCAATACACTGATTTTTTTCCTGCAGTGTTTGAAAGATTTTGACATGTGCTTCTGTTCGGCCTTCCGACGACCCGAGACGGCCCAAGAGCCCCCAAAGATCGCCCACGAGGCCTCCAAGATGGCCCCAGAACGGCCCAAGAGGCCCCCAAGACGGCCCCAAGAGGGCCCCAAGACGGCCCAGGAGGCCTCCAAGACGCCCACGATGGCCTCCAAGACAGCTTCCGACGGCGTCAGACGGGCCAGGGTCCCACCAGGACGGCCAAAGAGGCCACCGAGAAGCCCCCAAAGGTGCAAGAGGCTCCCAGGAAGCTCCCAGGAGGCCCCAAGAGTGTCCCGAGGGGCTCCCAAGATGCCCCCCCTCCTCCTCCTCCTCCTCCTCCCTCCTCCTCCTCCTCCTCCTCCTCCTCCTCCTCCTCTTCCTCCTCCTCCTCCTCCTCCTCCTCCTCCTCCTCCTCCTCCTCCTCCTCCCTCCTCCCTCCTCCTCCTCCTCCTCCTCCTCCTCCTCCTCCCTCCTCCTCCTCCTCCTCCTCCTCCTCCTCCTCCTCCTCCTCCTCTCCTCCTCTCCTCCTCCTCCTCCTCCTCCTCCTCCTCCTCCTCCTCTCCTCCTCCTCCTCCTCTCCTCCTCCTCCTCCTCCTCCTCCGCCTCCTCCTCCTCCTCCTCCTCCTCCTCCTCCTCCTCCTCTCCTCCTCCATCTCCTCCTCTCCTCCTCCTCCTCCTCCTCCTCCTCCTCCTCCTCCTCCTCCTCCTCCTCGTGCTCTTCCTCCTCCTCCTCCACATCCTTCTCCGCCTCCTCTTGATCTTCCCCGCCATCCTCCCCCAAGTGTTCCCCGAAGGGTTTCCACAACGGTTGGGGGAACACATGGCCCGCATCTTGGCACAGATTTTGCCACAACGCTCAGCCACATGGGCGATTCTCGAAGGCGGGGGGCGGCGGTGATTCGCCATAGGCGTCTTCGATCCGCCGCCCCCTGTTGATTCATCACAGGGTGCCTGGCGTGCTCGATTCTACTGGTTTTGGTGTGTGCCCTTTTCCAAAAAAACTCCCCCTAGGGCTTCGGCCCAGCGGCGCTGGCCCCGCGGGAAGCCGTCGAAAGGGACCAGAAATGACCTCAACGTCCGCCAAAAATCCTCTGAGACGGCCAAGATGGCCTCCAAGTTCGGCTAAGAAGGGCCAAGAGGGCCCAAGATATCTCCAAGCCTGCCGAACAAGCCTCCGAGACAGGCCAGAGCAGCCAAAGAGGACCCCAAGAGGCCTCCAAAGCGGCCCAAGAGCCCAAGAGGCCTCCAAGAGGGCCTCCAAGAAGGCCCGAAGACGCCGAAATCATGGATTTACCATTGGTTTGTGAAGGATTGTGGCGGTTGCTTCTTCTTGGCCTTCCGACGACCCGAAACGACCCAAGAGCCCCCAAAGATCGCCCAAAGATCGCCCAAGAGGCCTCCAACATGGCCCCAGAACGGCCCAAGAGGCCCCCAAGACGGCCCCAAGAGGGCCCCAAGACGGCCCAATAGGCCTCCAAGACGCCCAAGATGGCCTCCAAGACGGCCCTTGAGCACCCCAAGATGGCCCTGAGTCGGCCCAGAGGCCCCCAAGACGGCTTCCGACGGAGTCAGAAGGGCCAAGAGCCCATCAAGACGGCCCAAGATGGCTCTAAGATAGCCCAAGACGGCCCAAGAGGCACCCAAGAGGTCGCCAAGACGGCCAAAGGGGCCGAAGAGGCGAAAATCATTGATTCGCCTTAGGTTGTCGCAGGATGTTGGCGTTTGCTTCTTGGCAGCATTCCGACGGCCCGAGACGGGCCAAGAGCCTCCAAAGATCGCCCAAAGATCGCCCAAGAGGCCTCCAAGATGGCCCCAGAACTGCCCAAGAGGCCTCCAAGACGGCCCCAAGAGGGCCCCAAGACGGCCCAATAGGCCAAGACGCCCAAGATGGCCTCCAAGAGGCCCTGGAGGACCCCAAGAGGGCCCTCAGTCGGTCCAGAGAGGCCCCAAAGACAGCTTCCGACGGCGCCAGACGGGCCAGGAATGCCGTAAGGGTGCCAAAGAGGCCCCCGAGAAGCCACCAACGGCCCCCAAGATGCCCAGGGAGGTTCCCAAGATGCCTCCAAGAGGCCCCCAGGAAGCTCCCAGGAGGCCCCAAGAGTGCCCCCAAGATGAACTCTCCTCCTCCTCCTCCTCCTCCTCCTCCTCAACCTCCTCCTCCTCCTCCTCCTCCTCCTCCTCCTCCTCCTCCTCATCCTCCTCTCCCTCCTCATCCTCCTCATCCTCCTACTCCTCCTCCTCCTGATCTTCTCCGACAGCCTCCCCAAAGTGTTCCCCGACGGGTTTCCACAACGGCTGGGTGAACATATGGTCCGATAGTTTGTCAGAGCTCTTGCCACAACGCTCGGCCACACGGGGATTCCAAAGGCAGGGGTCGGCGGTGATTCGCCGTAGGCGTCTTCGATATTCGCGGAGCCCCTGTAGGTGACCTAGGTTCCCGCCCCGCGTCCTCCGGGGAGCTGTGGATGCCGATGCTTTTCCGCCCGCAAGAGATCCACGCCTTCGATCCCTCGACACGACTCCGACGCGGTGGATGTGGATGCGTACACCCAGACCTCCAACGTCACTCCTCACTTTCGCCAAGTAAGCCTCGAAGACTCTCGGCCTCTTCCTCGGGAACGGACAGTCGCCCTGCGCCGCCTTTTGGAGGTCCCGGGGCCCAAAGCAGCACCTGGAGGTCCAAAATGAGAAGAAACATGCCGTCCCCTCGTTTCCGCGACGACGGAGGCATTGGCAAACTGATACAGAATCTGTCCCCATTCGATCCGGATCCAGCCGTGTTGGCGAGAAGCGTCCCAGAGATCCAAAGAACCCCATACACGTCCAAACGCCTCGGCCCTCGATCGCCAAACCTTGTTCTGTCGGTAGGTCCTTCCAGCTGACGCTCGAGGTTGGGTGTGGGGGGGAGGCTGGGCCTGTCCTCGGGCGCACTCTGGCCAGAATTTCGATGCGGATCCAGCCGAGGCCACAAGGGCTCCGCAGGAAACCAAAGAGGAGGGGCGCTGATTGATTATGGTGACGATGACTGGTGATGATGATGGTGATGATGATGACCGTGATGGTGATGAAACTGATGCGGCGGAGGAGGAACAGGAGGCGGGGGAGCAGAGGGAAGAGGAGAAAAAGGAGAACAAGAGAAAGAGGAAGAGGAGAAGGAGAGGAGGAGGAGGAGGAGGAGGAGGAGGAGGAGGAGGAGGAGAAAGAGGAGGAGATGGAAGAGGCGGGAAAATGAGGAGGAAGAGGAGGAAGGGATGGGGGGAGGAGAAAGAGGAGGAGGAGGACAACGAAAAGAACGATGTTCTTGCCATTTCGTGCGCACACGGCCACGGAGCTCTGTATGAACGATGAACGCGTACTACAATCGTGACTCGCTAGCCGCATGCTTGAGGACTTCAGAACGGATATGAATTCGAGCTGCACTGCCACACGAAACCTGACTGGTTTGAGGTGGGGAGGGGAGCGAAGCAAGGAGCTTGAGCCAGGATGTGGACGGACGGCCCACTCCTGCAATAGGTTTTCACAGAACACCGAGTTCGACAAGGATACTCGATGTGAAAAGTAAACGCGTGCCGCAGGCTCAAGGCGTTAACAACAAGCATTAGTTGGAGCTGCACTGACACGCGGATCCACAACCAGAAAGCATTACACCATTCGCCTCTTAGCCGAGACACGGCCGCATAGACGATTAGAAACCACGCACGCTCTCTGCAGATACAACCGCAGCTTGCGAAAGTGCTGGGGCAGCAGCCTCTGAAACGCAGTGTACGACACGGCGAGACAGATTCCTGGGAGACGTTTCCGCCCGCTTCGTGTAGAACACACTCTGAGGATTCCGACCCTCGAGTTGCACGAACTGGATGCCGGCGCGAGAACACACCCCTCGGCCCCTGCAGTGATTCACGGCGCGCCCGAAGCCAACATTCACAAGACGAGAACGCGTGAGTTTTCTCCAAGGCATACCGTATATACAACAAATGTACAACAAGATCCAGAGGAGGAGGAGGAGGAGGGGGAGGAAGAGGACGAGGAGGAGGAGGAGCAGCAACAGAGGAGGACGACGTGACGACACCGGCGAGGGGGGAGAGGGAAGGAGGAGAGCGGGATGACACCAGACCCAACTCTGGCCAGGGCTTTCGATCACCAGGGCCGCGACGGAAACTCGGGCGACTCGCAGGGGCCCGCCACAAACACTAGCGTGAGCACTTCCCGCCCAGACGGCTTTGGCGTCCCAGGGTTTTAGTCTGGGCCCAAGTGGAGAAGCGTTTCGAAGAGTGGCGAGCCCATTGGGCCGATTTCGGGCAGTACAAAGACTGTTGCAAGGCAAGCCTACCCAGGCCGCTCGATGAGAACCGTCTCGGATCCTGCCTCTGAGAAACTTCTGAAACGTACGACCCGAGAGGTCGTGCTGATTACCACACTTGGTATCGAATGCGAAGAATCGAGGCAAGCTTCGGAGCCTGACGCCAGGCCTCACTCATTCGACCCCGACCTGAGAAAAGCTCGACAGCGAACCCACGACCCTTGAACTCTCCGGTCCACCACTTTCGGTTCAATTCCACAGGAGCCACACGGAAACGCTCTGCTCGGCCGCCTCCGCCGCGAGCTTGACGGCGACCGGGGCGCATTGAGGAGCTGGCTGACTCGCCCGCCATCGACCTGTCCGTCCCCCACCGACGTGGCGCAACATGGGCAGCACTGGCGTCATCTCGCCTGCCAAGCCGACGGATTTGGAAACCGCCTCGAACGACACGGCCCATTCGCGGTAGCTGAACGGGAATTCCAGCGACTGGCCTCCGTTTGCGCGGAGCTGGGCGAGCAGAGCATCGATGAAGGGGAGCTGGTCGACGTTGTCCACCAACGCCGTTTCGTCGCGAGCCCCCATATTGAACGTGATCTGCATCTGCTGAGAGCCTAACATCACGGCCCACTTCAGGCCTGCACAACGCCCGCGACGCGAAGGCGGAACCAGGTCGCACGCTCGGATCCCCAGGAGCTCGCACGGCCCGAAGTAGCGCACGAAGGCGAAGAGCACGGCGGCGCCCGTGCGCCAGCTGCCCACTGCTGACGGCATCCGCGCCCCCTGGCACTTAACAGCCCACGGCGATGGCAGCCCCGCTTGGGGAGGGCCTGGCCTCGCGAAGCCCCGGCGGGCAGGCTGGGCGCGCGGCAGCTGGGAAAGCCCAGGGCCAGCAGCAGGGCGGAAGCACGCGATCGCCGCCACCACCTTCGAGGCCGCGTTTGTTCGCCAGCCGCCGCCGAACATCAGGTCGAACATCTTCACCACCGCCGCCGCCAAGTCGCGTAGCCGAGCGGCGCGGAGCCACTGCTGCCCCGCCCACGCAAGGGCCCCGGCACCCGGACGCCAACCGCGCCGAAAACGACCTCCGCAATAGCGCCGCGCAGCGGCCACTCGCAAGCCGCGGCCCCTGCGGGGGCGGGCGGGCAGCCCTCCGCGCCGCGGCGCGAGCTTCGCGCCCGAGACCCCCCTCGCGCGCCACGCTGGCAGGGCGGCCGCGGCCGTCTGCTGCCGGCGCCAGGGAACGCCGATCGTCGGCGAGGTCGCCGAGCTGCTCGTCGCCGAAGCAGCCGCGGAGGACAACCTCGGCCTGGACGGCGGGCGGCCCCCCGAGAGGAAAACGCCCGCTACCCCGCGCGCCGCCGCTCCTCTGGGCAGCATGCCCGCGCGAGCCCGCGGCCAGGGGGCCCCGGGGCGGAGGCGACCAGGCACCCGCGCCCCCGCGAGGCAGCGTCGGGCGCGCCCCTCTCAGAGAGCAGCCAGCGCCACGCCAGGCACAGGTCGGCGGCCAGGACGAGCGCGGCCGACCGAAGGGCGCCTTCGAAGATTGCGGGCACGGCGCCCCCCATGATCAGGCGTCGTTCTTGGTGAGAAGACAATGTCCTGGTCAGGCGCTTCCACGTTCAAGTGGCAGCGCGGAAATCTGAGTGCACTCGGCCAATTTGCAGGAGGCTGCGCGCCACCAACTACCACCCCAGACGCGCTCAGGAACTGGGGGGACTCGTTGGAGACCTTCATCGTCATCACCCCGATATAAATCGCCCCGAGGATCCCCAAATCGGCCACGTTCGCCGCACTGCGACAACGCCTATCCATCGCTGTAGGCTGTAGGGGCAACGATTTGCACGTCGCTTGAGCCGATCGTCTCGCCCACCGCCCCACATCCCCAACCGGAAGCATCGAGCGCGTGTTCCTTCGAGCGCCACCCAGCATGCAGCCCCCGAGCAGCAGCGAAGACATGGGCGGCCATCCAACAATGCTCTCGGCACGCTGAGGGCCCGAGGGTACCTCGCCCCTGCCTGAATTGCTGAGCAGAGGCGAGGCTGGCCTGCGGCGCCGAAAGCACCGATCGGCGGACGAGGCCGCGAGTGGCGAAGCGCCCGAGCAGCGCCGAGATCTCGCGCCCACTGGCCCCCCCGATCTTCGCGACACCCTGAAGCGCCAGGCGGAACCGCCACGCGCTACGCAGAGACATGGAGCACATGCCGCCCTCGGCGAAGCGCCAGCCGAAAGCGTCGCCGCCGACGCTCACCTCCGCGCCGTGCATCGGCAAACCCCCGGCCGCCAAGCGCCCTCGCGTTCGTCTTCCACCGCGGCGCGACCCCGCCCGACGCACGCGAAGCTGTCAGCGCACTCGACGCGGGCGATGGGCGCGAGCCCCGAGGCGGCCCCCCGTCGACCAGCGCGTCGGCCGCGCTGACGTCGGGCCCAAGCGGGGCCTGCTCCACGCAAGGGGCCCGGCGCGCCTGCGGCGCCGGAAACCCTGCCCCTCGGCAGCGCGGCGCCGAAAGGATGAGCGCGGACCCCTGGACGAGCCGGCTGGCCCCCGACGCGCTCGACACCCTGCCCCCGCGCGCGGGCGGCAGATGAGCGGCCTGCAGCCGCTTGGAAAACCCAGCGCCCCTTTTGCGGCCGCGCAGGGCGGGGTCGGCGCAGGCCAGGCGCAAGCCTAGCGGCGTCCGCCACGCCTCCCCCCGCGCGCACCGGGAAGCAGATGCTCTCGCAACCTGATCGACCAACTCGCCCGTGGCACCCGCGGCACCCCCTCCCCCAGCGCCGCAGAGCGGAAACCGGGCAGGGCCTCGCCCAGCAGTTCCACGCGAAGAAGCGCCAGCCGCGAGGACGAGCCGTCGCAAGCTAGCTTGGACCCGAGCTCGTCGAAGGCCCTTGGCCCGTCGAGGTCCACGGGGGGGCGGCCCCATGTCCACCGCGCGCTGTCGAAGGCGGTGAAGAGCGAGTCTTTGGCCGGGCGGGGCGACCCGCCGCGGGGCGCCCAGCGCATGCCGTTCAAGGTGCTGGCGGGCTCGTCGGCGGCAGCGTCGGTGGATTCCCGTCGACGAGTCCGCCGCCGCCACGCGCGGCGCGCCTGGGGAGAGTCGCGCCCTCGAGGGGCTGCCTCTGAGACCAAAGGTATGAAAAAGATCACGCCGGCGGAACTTAGAGCCATCTCCAGCCACGCTGAATGCGCGGGCCGCGCGGTTCCCTCCAGGCAGGGGCCCGAGACCTGATGGTGTCTGTGATGCGCCATTGCCCACGCCGCAGCGTTCCCCCGCGCATTCCGAATCTGCTTGAGCACGCTGGCGTCTCGCTCGACCTCTCGAGCGACGAAGTGGAGCGAGTCGGGCGACGCCATCACTTCTCCTGCCTCTTGAGAGCGTCGTAGCTCGCGGCCATCTCAAGGATCTTGACGCCATGCTCATGGACACCCAACCGCACCGTCGCCCCGTTGGAATCGGTTCACGTGGGGCCAGAAGACACGATGATCGCCTGGGCCTCCACCGCGACGGTCGAGGAACCCCATCATCCGCTCCAAACTGCACATGGAGTCACCATCCCTTTCTCCGCCACCAGCTGGCACGGCCGACGGACTCGGCGATCGCCCACGACCTCCACGGGCATCACGCGGACGTCGGCGCCACTCGCGTTACGCATGAAGTCCAAGGGCCCACCGAACAGCATCCGCCGCACTGACACCGCAGCGGGGCCGCGAGGTCCGGGCGGAGCTCCAGGCACCTGGTACATCCCAACGTCCCCGACCATCGGCACGCCCGCGCCCAGGAAGACCACCATCCCGCGCTGCAGCCCACGCTGCGACTCCGACACGACCCACACGAGCTCGCCGGACCTCGGCGGGGGCGAGGCGGGAGCGGCTACCGCCCCAGCCGCGGTTCCCGGCCCAGCAGCTCCGGCAGCACCGAACACTTCGCCACACCCCAGGCGCCTGCCACCTCCGTCGACCTCGAGGGGAACCTGGGCGCCGGCAGCGGCGCGCGAGCGGGATCGGCGGCCAGAGGATGCAACGCGCCCCCTGCCGGTTTCATGCTTGGCCCGCCTGCACGGCGGTCGCGAGCTACGTACACGTCCCTGGCCGCGATCTTCGCCAGGCGCTGGAACTCCCGCTGCTCAGCGGACGTCACGTCCCAGCGGAAGCGCCACGAGCCGCGCGGCACCCCTGGCGGCGGTGGCTGGCGAGCGTCACTCCACCTCATCGCCGCGACGTTGGGATCAGAACTGCCGTTCACCTCTAAGTACACGTCGCCGTCGGGCATGCTGGCGATAATCTCAATCGCTGCCTCTGGAGTGCCCGCCAACACTCCCTCGATGTGTCGTTGATGGAACGGCGGCGCGCACGCAGGCTGGACCCACGCCCACTCTTGGACCGGCGGCTGCGCCATCTCGAGGAGCAGGAGCGGCAGGGCGAGCTCGAGCAAGCACGCTCAGCCAGCAGCCCTTGGCGATGACCCCGGTCATCGGCGGTGGACAAACCGTCTTAGTAAGCTTAGTAAACCTCTCCTTCATGAAAACGGCCCGGGACCGAAACCGACGGACCTGAACCCGCAAAACTGCCGGCCGCGACGCCCTCTCGCGAACCGAAAACGGCCAATTCCTTGATCGACGTGTCAGGGTAGGAGGTCTATCCACCTCCGAGATCAGCGATGAACCCCCAGCAGGTACGGCACGGCGCTGTAGCGACCCGCCCCGCGACGCTCCACCCTCCAGCGGGCGCCGGCAGCCCCGCGGGCCCGGAGGGCGCCGCGGCGGGCGCCGGTGGTGGGCGGGCCTCCTCCGGCGGCGGCCCCGGCCCCTTCCCTGCGGGCAGTGCACCGCCACGGCCGAGGGACTCCCCCGCGGGGGGCAGGCGGGCGACTCCGCGCAGTAGCAGTCGGGACACCTCGGGCACGGCGCGACCTCCCAGCGCCAAGGCCCGTCCACGCTCGAGTGCGTCACACGGGCTGCCAGACAGGCGATCGCGGCCGAGAGCGTGGGACTCGGGCGCATGATCAGCTTGAGCGAGGATGGGGACGGACGGCCCGCTCCTGCACTTACAGTCGCAAAGATGTTCATATGAAGATCGAGTTAGGAAGACGAGGAGGCAGAGGGGGGATGAGGAGGAAGAGGAAGGAGGAAGAGGAGGAGGAGGAGGAGCACGAGTGGGAAGGAGGAGGAGGAGGAGGATGAGGAGGAGGAGGAGGAGGAGCACGAGTGGGAAGGAGGAGGAGGAGGAGGAGGGGGAGGAGGAGGAGGCAGCCGTGGCCACGGAGGGCGCCCCAGGAGCCCACCAAGCGCTCCCAGGCATCCAGGCCTCGAGCCTCGGCCTCAGACCCCCGACATCATGATTTTGCGCATGACGTCGCATCCCAGAGGTCTCGACCCACCCCCTCTGGGACTGGCCCCTTTGTCCTGAGTCGTTTCGCTGGCGGCCCTGGGGCCCGGCGAAGGCTCTTGGAGGCCGAAACTGACTTTCGGGTTTAGGGTTTAGGGTTTAGGGTTTAGGGTTTAGGGTTTAGGGTTTAGGGTTTAGGGTTTAGGGTGACCATGACCCGAAAGGTCTGGGGCCGCCGAGGCCTGGCGGCGCGTCCTGCCGTGCCTGCTGGACCGCAGCCGCCCGCAGTCGGACCAGTCGGACCACTCGAGCAGGGCGCAGTCCCTGGCCGCCCACGCCTGGGCCTGGCCGTCGTCGCCGCCCTGCTGCGGCGCGCCCTGGCCCAGGGGCTCCTGAGAGGAGGAGGGAAGCCTCCTCCTGCTCCTGCTCCTGCTCCTCCTGCTCCTGCTGCTCCTCCTCCTCCTCCTCCTCCTCCTCCTCCTGCTTCTTCTTCTCCTCCTCCTCCTCCTCCTCCTCCTCCTCCTCCTCCTCAGCCTCCTCCTCCCCCTCCTCCTCTCCCTCCTCCTCCTGCACACGTCTGCCCGGCCCCTTTTCGTATGCATGTCTCTGGAGCGGTGGCGTGCAGTGCTGGGTCCTGAAGAAGACGCGCGCCATCGCGCCCCAGCATGCTGCAAGAGCGCCGAAACGTGGAGCACCACCGACAGCAGCAGAAGTTGTTCAGCAACCTCAAGGACGTCGAGGACGCAGCGGCGAAGCCTGGTCAGGCGGAATCGGCAATCGCAAGATACCTATATTACTCTTCATCGTAATATGATTATGAAGATACTACTGTTCTACTTTAATTTCTGATTCGTTGCATTCTGAATTTCAATATCAGTCGTAATATTCATATTCCTCATCGTGAACCTCGGGGGTGCAAGGTCCAGCCGTTGTAGCTACTTAGTGTCCTTCTTTCTGCGTCTTCCGCGGACGCACCGTTGGTGGGTGCGGACGGAGAGGTCACCGAGTGTTTGCGCCAACCGGGGTTCAGGTTGATCGTCGGGGAGTGAAGGCGCCTGGTACTCTGCTCCCCGCAGCCACCCCGTGGCCCATGGTTCGCAAGGCTGTGGGTTGCGTCCAAGCCTGTTCTACGATGCGCGGTCGTGGTTCCTGTCTCCGACTACATCTTCCCGACTACCTCTTTCTGGTCTCCTACACGATTCAGGCTTTGTTGGTGGATATTGGACGGGGAATCCATTTCGCAGGCACGTGGTGGACGTTCACTTCTGCATATGTGCTGCCATCACCAGCTTACGGTGCTACTGCTACTTTGGAATGTACGGCACGCTCGGGATCCGCGTCATGCTCGTACTTACGGGCGTGCGCGTACTTCTGGGCGTGCTCAAGTGCGACAATTACGGCAACGACTACCCCGCAGCTGGCTATCAAGGCGACGGCTCCCACGGGGGCGGCTTCCATGGCGGCGGCTACCACGGAGGTGGCTCCTACGGCGGTTCACGCGGCTACCACGGCGGCGGCTACCACGGCAGGCACTACCCCGCGGCCGCCACCACGGCAGCCACCACGGCTGCAGCTAACACGGAGGCGGTTCCCGCGGCGGCGGCTACCACGAAGCGGGCTACCACGGCGGCTCCCGCGGCGGCGGCTACCACGGAGGCGGCCACCACGGCGGCTACCAAGGCTTCTACCACAGCGGTTCCCACGGCGGCGGCTACCACGGAGGCGGCTCCGGCGGCGGCGGCTCCAACGGAGGCGGCTACCACGGCGGCGCCCACGGCGGCTGCTTCTACGGCGGCGGCTACCACGGCGGCTCCCACGACGGCGGCTACCACGGCGGCGGTTCCAACGGCGGCGCCCGGCGACAATTTTGGCGGGGGTTACCGCTGCTGTCGGGGGTTTTGGCGGGGGGTACCTTGGAACATAAGCGTCAGATGGATTACATATTTTGTTCCTCTTCGCTGACTCTGTCTGGTTCGGCAGCCACGAACGAACTCGATTGTGGATCTGATAATCGCGCCGTTTACGCGTCTTTCCTTGTGCCTTCTGCAGGCGCCAGCAAGAGGAAAAAGAAATCGTCGATGAAATCGGTGGGTTCTCCGACATACGAGAAGGAATTGGAAGCTCTCTTGGACGACGTCGGGGATTTATCTTGGCGCGAACTACAAGACACCGTAAAAGCAGCCGCGCACGTCTCCGGTGCGGCTCGGGCTCAGCTGCAAGACCGACAGTGGGACATAGCAGAGCTTGAAGACTTGAGGAAACGATAGAGATATTGCACAGATCGGGAGGGGCGTGCTTCCTTGCCGAAGGAAATAGCCAAGAAGACGAGGAAAGCTGTGCGTCGTTGGCAGACTCAGCGGCTGGAAGAGCAGCTTACGGAATTTCGGGACCTCCGCCGGCTTCACACAATAGCTGCTGAACCCAGGCAACGCAAGATGTCGGTCAAGCCGAAGCCGGAAGACTTCGCAAGGATGCTTGGGGAGTTGTATGCTTCAGACCAGAGTCCAGCAGACAGGGGGAGCGCGATGCTATTGAGGGACATTGATCTTTCTACAAATGGACGAGTTAGTCGACGCATTATAATCCCTCTCAAAGGGCAAGTGCGCTGACAAGCACGGGGTGGTTCTGGAGATGCTGGCGCAAGGTGGCGGCACCATCAAGCACATATTGTTACGGTCATCAGTGAGATCCTCTGGTCATCAAATTCCGGCCCTTCAATGAGATCCTCTGGTTTCCCTTAGCGCTCTCCCGGAGTCACCATTAATGATACCTCCACCTCCCCTTACTTACCCAGCTCATCTTTATCACAACCTTCCTACTCAGCATCATCATAACCCTCAGCATCGTCATCGTCCTCCTCCTCCTCCTCCTCCTCATCATCATCATCATCAGCATCAACATCATGATCATGATCATCATCATCATCATCAGCAGCAGCAGCATCATCCTCATCATCAGCATCATCCTCATCGTCATCCTCATCAGAACCGTCCTCCTCAGCCTTCTCCTCACCAGCATCATCATCAGCATCATCATCGTCGTCATCATCAGCATCATCAGCATCATCATCGTCTCGTCGTCGGCGACGTCGCCATCATTGTTATCAACATATTCAGCATCAGCATCATCATCCTCATCCTCACACACCCTCATCATCACAGTCATTTTCATCATAATCATAATCATCGGCCTTGGCCTCATTATCATCAGCATCGTCACCACCACCACCATCACCATCCTCAGCCACATCATCATCATCATCCTCATCATCATCATCATCCTCATCATCATCGTCGTCCTCATCCTCATCATCAGCATTAGCATCAGCATAATCATCATCAGCAGCAGCATCCTCATCATCATCAACAGCATCATCATAATCGACATCAGCATCAGCATCATCATCATCAGCATCAACATCATCCTCGTCATGCTCATCATCCTCATTATCAGCCTCATGCACGTCCTCATCCTCATCCTCGTCCTCATCATCCCCCTCTTCGATGACATTGTTCCCCCCACCTTTCTCCTTTTCGTACTCCCCTCATCTCCCCCCTCCTCATCCACCTTCTCCTTCTCCTCCTCCTCCTCCTTCACCTCCTCCTCCTCCTCCTCCCCCGCCTCCTCCTTTTGCTGCTCCTCATTCTCCTCATCAGCATCCTCCTGCTAATCATCCTCCCCGTCATCCCTCCTCCTCCGCCTCCTTCCCCCCTCCTCCCCACTCCCCCCCCGCTCCCTCACTCTGCCCCTCCCCCTTCCTGCCTCCCTCCATCCATGTGCTCCTGCGGCGAGGCCTGGCCGGTCAGCCAGACGCCCCGGGCACCCAGGGGCAAGCCGCCGCACAGCAGCGCGCCGCCCAGCGCGGCCAGGGCGAGCGGCGGCATCGCACCGTCGCCGCGGGGACGCCGACCGCCCACCGCCCACCAGGGCATACGGTTGTGGATGCCATGACAATGGACACTCTAACAATCCGATCATTGAATTAAAGATGTGTTTAACCTGTGCAAAACATGTTATGAAAATGTTTCAAACATGTTCTTTACAAATTTAAAAAGATATCTGGAACATCTCTTAGACATCTGGATTTTTTGGGCAGCACGCTTCCTCTCCGTTAACCGACTTCCAAAAGCATACGGCAGGCTCGCGTCGTGACGACAGCAATTCGGGAACCGCGAATGTATACGCAAAGGCATCCGGGCGCTGTCCCATGAGGCTTCGCAGAAACGCCACGGGACAACGCATGGAGTCCAGATATCTCGCCGGTCATCTGGTCGACAGGTGTCGAACAAAGTGTATACACTGTGTAGAGGCTGCCATTTGCCACTGAGCCGCGGACAAACATAACAGAATACAGTGGGCATGTTCCTGACCCCGATAGAGGTCTCCCGGATGGGGTCGGAGTGCACCCCTGCTTCGAGTTAAGAAGCTCCTGCGCCAAGAAAATGGAATCCACTCCAAGCGTGATCTGAAACAGTAGTCCAAGTCCACATGCACCGAACTCCGACGATACAAAAAAAGGCTCCAGGAAAACGCCCAGGGTCCAGCTCAGACCCTAGGTTCTCTGACGCAGAATCTGGAGTCAATGGACTTCATGCTGTTTCTTAAGATTTCTGATGGGCGTAGATGGGGTCGACATCGCCGATGCATCGGCGGTGCGGCGCGAGCCTCCGACCCCATCTGGGAAGCCTAGGGACAAGGTCGTGCCGTGACGACGTCGGCGTTGGCTTCTGACACCGCGTGGATCGCTCAGCCCTGAACGATCGGCGGCCCTTCGATCACCGGATCGTTTCACGTTTCACGATTCTGGGCCACGGCCCGTTCAGCCTTTCGGGTCGGGCGAAAGGGGGGGATAGCAAAGGGGGGGTTTGAGAATCAGCTCACGTAGCTGATTCTCCCGGCGCCTCCCGGCGCCGGAGGCGGCCATGCATCGAGGAATGGGCCCCTCGGCGAGGCCGAAACCAGCCGCATGCAGCAAATTTCGTAACCCCCCCTTTCCCAATCCCCCCCTTTCGCCCGACCCGATCAGCCCGGAACGATCGGCGGCCCTTCGATCACCGGATCGCTTCACGCTTCACGATTCCGGGCCACGGCCCGTTCCGCCTTGAACGCCCCCGGCGGGGCCGCCGCCGCGCCGAGACGACGCGAATCTGCCCTGCTGATGTCGACACGGCCGGACCTGGGACAGGAGAACAGCCTTCAAGGACGTGCGACCCCCGCTGGCCCAGACTGAAGAGCACTCGAGGGAACCCTCCCCCAGGATGCACGAGAAGATCCAGCCTCACACGAGGAACATTAGGGCGCCCTCCCCGAACCGATCTCGATCTTACACCTCGGTCCGATACCCCTCCCTCGTAGTCGGTTATACCTCGGCCTCCCGGGAGGGCTCCCTCGT